GTGGGGAGCTGGTGTTTCCAAAGCAGCCGGTGGCTTTCGCTCTGCACATGGAAATCCAGGATTAACCCCGCCGCCTGCCTGCCCGCCTGCCCTGGGGCAGCACATCTGCGCTGGGGCGACGTGCCCGAAGGGCTCGTCTGGTTTTGCAGGGATTCTGGAAGGAAACCCTTGCTGTGAGTTAAAGCTTTAAACCCACCAACTCTCTTTAACGAGGGCTGCGATGAGGGGGGAATTTTAGTTCCTCTGGCTGCGATTTGGACGTGTCTGTGGGGGAACCGACCTGCTCCCTCCTGCCTGCACCTTCCCTTGCTGCTTCACTTCGATCCTCCCAAAGCCCCCGGGAGGAGCAGAGTGACTGCCCACTACCAAAACCCTGTGTGCAGCAGTGGACAGGAGGCAGGAGAAGGTGGAAATTAAGTGGAAAAGGCTAAGGAACAGCTTGGGTGTAGCTGGTGCCTACCCTGCCCTGGTGCCACGGGGATAATTAATCCCTGAGAGCCTCTTCTTGAAGCAGAAGGGCTTCCTCGAGGGATGCGTGGGGGCAAAGCGATGCTGCAAAAACGTCTCTGAAGGCTCCTTGTTTACACGGTGCCGACTGTAAAGTCCCAGGGAAAGGGGCAGCAAACACACACGTGCCCGAAGCGCTGCTGGGGCTAATCCCCTGCGCTGCTGCGGGGCGGAAAATGATGAAAAAAAATCCTTTGCCAGGTCGTTTGGATGTTGAAATCAAACCCCGCAGCAAATAGAGGGGGTGTGTGGGGCGGGTACCCTCCTGCCCTCAGCCTGTGCATCACCCTGAGGGGGGGGATGCCCAAACCTTGAGCTCAGCCGGCCCTAAGGGGACCCTCACCCGGGGCTTTTCTCCCCGCAGGAGCCCGGGAATGGCCTCGGCGAGGAGGGGGAGCGAGCAGGCACGGGGCCGGCAGCGCCCCCCAACCACCAGCAGCGCCTGGAGCACATCGTCCGGAGGGCGGCGGTGGAGGACAAGGTGAGGGGCTGCCGTTTCTGCCTCGTTTCTTACCTTGGCTGCTAGAAACCGGCTGTCTCCATTGGTATTTATTTATTTTTAGTAGTTTCTTTTAATAGAACAGTTCGTCACCACGTGTCCCGTAAATGGCTGGGTGTACAGCGTCGGGATGAATTAGGTCTGGGTGACAATTAGGGATGTGCCCCACAAAGCTTTCACGGGTGGGGAAGGAAAGGGATGCGGATATACGGGCTGAAATAGCTGGATTTTGGCTCTGTGGAAGCTGCGGGGTCAGGGGGAGAGCTGCTTGCGGGGCGGGGAGATACGGACACCGCTCAGGGGGGGGGTTGCAGGGGAAACCGTCCAACTTCTGCCGGCGCAGCGGAGGAGCCCGGCTGGTCCCACCCAGGGCATCCCGATAGCGGCCAAGAGGAGCAAGAGGTGGTCCCCTGCCACCGCCCCCCCTCTCCACGGGCTCAACTTTGAGACCTTGGCTGTCCCTGAAACCCCGCTTCAGCACGATGAGCCTTAGAAGTTTGGCTTTCCCACCCGATTTTGAATGCTGTTTGCATTCTCCCCAGGCCGCTGGCCCTTTCTGCGGGATTTGCATCCGGCTCCTGCTCGGTGGTTTCCTCCTGCGCCGGGTGCTTGAAGGGGGAAGGGGCTGGGGCAGCCCCGGGCGTGGGGTGACGGCCGCACGCAAGAGCCCCAGC